AAATATATATATATATATATATTCATAGTATATATATATGTATATATATATATATATAAATATATATATATATATGTATATATATATATATATATATGTATATATATATATATACATACATGTAGGTATGTCCACACTTGATCCGAAATGTCACACGATCAGTCCCATCAAATCTGTCCTGACCGAGGACCGGTGTTGATTCATTCGACTAGTTTCTGAGAGAGCATGTAGCAGCGTAGCAGGCTTCATCCATAACTAACAACCAAGAATCAATGAAGACGACGTCGCCGACACGAGGTCGATAAACCTAAGCTGCTTGGGAGCCTCGAGCTGGAGCCCTGCATCTCGCTCTCAAGGCCCGAACGATGGGCTCGATACGGCCGAGCATCTCCTGCACGGTGCTGCAAAGACAACGAGAGTCAGGACAAGCTTGTTCGTGCTTGACATGATGCCCCGGCATTGGAAGGTTTGCTCAGCAGCTGATTTCTCAGGGTGCGCGGTTTCGTTCGAAGCTGAAAGGGCTGTTCTTACAACAAGAATCTCGCAGCTCCTGCGTGTAAAATTTTTGGTCTGGATAGAAGTTCTGCATGTCAATTGTCTCGAAGAAGTGAGCATTCCTCAGCTGACTTCCCTCAAGCGACCCAATCAATGCATGGTGATTCCACTCCGGCTGCCCTCGTCCGTGTTTAGTTTCTTGGCTCCAGGATGTCGTGGTATGAAACGACAACAATCACGAGGATTGCAAGCTTGAGGTGTCAGAAATGACAATAGTTGAGAGGACAGTAACTGGAAGGTGCCACAAACGGTGACAGTTACGACAGTGACAAGGATGGACCGGTGACTGCATGCACTTTTGTTTTTTTGGCGGGGCTTGCACGGGGGTGATGGGTGAGGGGGAAGGTGCACAACCAGATCACAACCACAAAATGGTCTTGAAATCCGAGGCTCAAGAATCTTTGGAATGCATTTTTTTGGACGGCATGCAGAAGCAACTCTCCACCCGAAGACTCTTCAGGAACTCGCAGATACCTCAGTGCGAGCGACATTGTGTGGCGATGAGCGCCCGATGCAACACATAGACCCCAATCCCAATTACTCAAGGCTTCCTTCTCAATGACCATGCTGCATGGCACAAGTTGACCGAAAGAGTACTTCCAGGTCTGACACTGTCCATGTGCACATTGCCTTCTCGGCGTCGACCACCTTGCATGCAAGCAAACATTCTGCCAGGATTGTTCCTCCCTGCCTCGAGGATGAGCATTGCGAGCTGGTAAGCCCCGTGCCAGGCACCATTCGCCGCACCACGCAGGGCAGAAATTTGCGTGCTGTGCTCGGGCAGCGCTCCAGCCGGCAGCTGACCGCAGGCAGCGAATTGAGTTCTTCCCGGATCACGTCCAAGGGGAACTGGCCTCTGAAAGCAATATTAATATGAGAGGGTGTCAAACCCGAGCATGCTCCGAGCCTAGCCGAGCCTGGTGGGAAGGCAGAGATCAAGCTCTTTGTCGTCTCTTCTGCGCGCTGCAGGTACGAGTTGGGGGCAGGCGTGGACGCCTTCATTCGGAAGCCTGGGCGGCGACAAATCACACACGGAGGAGCCTGCAAGGCACTGAGGCCGGAACCCTCTTGTATGAGCACGTCAGTTTTCGTGTAGCCGAGCTTGCTGTAGTCGGAAGCCGGTGCATCCTCAGACAAGGCTGAGCATCCGAGCTCGACAGGCGATCATGCTCGGAAATCAACAGCAAAACGAGTCAAGAAGGAAACTCGGCTCTACCAGACGCTCCTCTGAAGAGAGACGAGATCCTCACTCTGACACGGCCATTGAAGGCTCCATACCTCAGCCAGGCGGCCGGATCGCGACCCAAGCGCCACTCGGCGAATCGCCGGGCCGAGGAGCCGCCTCTTCGCTACGGCCAAAAGGGAGCGCACATGAGCTCCGGAGCTCAGGAGTAGAAGAGAGCGGGAAGTGTGTCATGTCCAGGTCTTCTGATAGGCTTGGGTGAATCTCGGGCTTGGAGTCTAAACATGTCCAAAAACGCCAAAAAAAAACGCAGCGGTTCTTCTTGCCTGAGCGCTCCGCTGCGGCAGACTGCTGGAGCAGCCAGTCACTGGCTTCTCGGCAGACTTCATCGGAGATGGCACCAGGAAGCACAAGCACCTAGTGGCAGTAGCAGTGGCTTTTTTGTTGTGATCATCAGCCTGATGATGATCATCATCCTCTGCCGTGATCCAAACCAGAACCCCCTGTGAGAGGAGTTCCCGACACCTGCCTCCCATGTCAGGCAGTAAGTAAGTCATTAGAACATCATGACAACACCACACCGAGTCGCAGCCGGCAGGGCAGAACCTGAAGCCAAGCTGCTGGAGCCTTGCCTTCCAGCAGCGCCAGGAGGTCCCGGCGCTGGAGGCCCAGCCCTGAGCCGCTTTTCGGCACCACACGTGCCGCGGCGCCTGAACTTTGGAAGGGCGGGGATGGGATGGGATGGGATGGGATGGGATGGGGACCCTCAAATGACCCTTATATATACCTCTGCATCGCCACACAGAACTGCCCCCGCCTTGTATTGGGCGAAGGCCGCCGATTGCATTCTGGATAAACCATGCAAGCCTCATCCCTACCGAGCTCTCCCTCCTCCGTGATGTTTGGGATCAGTTCCGCAAGGTTCGCACGTTACACCCAGTCTTGCGTTATGGGACAACACAAATGCATGACCTTTCAACTTCGTCTGCACCCTATAGCTGTTGACCTGAGCATGAATCCCGAGAAGAATCCTCTTCTTTGGTCTTTGGTCTCACAATGTCTCACACTTTTTGGCTGCCAAAAGGTCCTGCAGCTCGGACAAGTTTACGGCCACTAGGCCCAGGCAAGATGCCTAACGTCTTGTCAAGCATCGCTGCCGTTTAAGCTATGGGTCACCAGAGCAGCTGAACCAACAAACTGATACAAACACAATCTCTTACCGTTGCTCAGGCGGGCATGCTTCAGCAGAATCACTGAAACGAAGGTGATCTGCCGAGTTTGGCGCTCGCCTTTCACCTTCGAGGCTACTGCTTCTTGTGAGCAGACCTTTCGTTGCCAAACCCCGGGACATGAGAGTACCTTCAAAGTTTGTTTCTTGAATCAGAGTTCTAAAGCAGCTTTGGCAGAACCTCAGTCAAGAGTTGATTGCTGAGCAAGAGAAGCGCCATAAGACAGAATTAGTGCACTCACAAGCCGACGAGGGCTGCCTTGAGAGACGAGACCGAGGCCAGGGCTCGTGTCGCTTGCTGGCAGAAGGCATCTGTGCTACCGCCGGTCGACCATGGCATCCTGTCAAATGCAAAAAACATAAGTTTAAAAAAAACAAGGGCCTTTCGCCGCAACCGAAGTGAGGCCCTATGAGCTGTCTGAAGATTCCCTGGGGCAGGGACATCTGGAGACGCGCCGAATGGCAGGAGGCTCGGCATCATAGGCCTCTGCCATGCACTGTTGAGACTTCAGCACTGCAACAGCTTTCCTGCAAGCTACGCTAACGCTCGTCTGACCCAGCCATACCATACCACACACCCCGACATCAAGGTGGCAGTGACGACAATGATACCACGCGTGCCTGTGACTGCACTAGCAACGTGCTCCCAATTCAAGCGTGCGTTTGTAAACCTATGTAAGCCTGGTGCTTCACGTACATGAATCTGTGCGCCGCCTGATTATGTGACACGCCGGCCGTCACTGTTGCATTTGGGCTTCGGCTGTGTGCACTCAACCCCGACGGCTCCGTAGTCTGCACTATACCAAACGAAACGTGGGCTCCCAGACCTACCGCGGTAGGGCGAAGATAAGGCAAGACACTGGGCCGCTAGGCTGCAAGGACCTCGAGGCCCTGGCGTTGCAAGCACAGATGCCGACACTTCCTGGAAAGCTTTCGGATGGTGTGGCATGGGGGGCACTGACCCAAAGAGAGGTAGGAGATGCTGAGGAAGTGAGAAGCACCGCAGCAGACATGCCACAGTCTGGAGACACAGACGTGCAATGATGTGCACGACAAGTGTAGTCGAGTGCTCTGCTGAAACATGCATTGCAAATGGATTTCGAACTGGAAGACCCGCTCTCTGAAAAGTCCAATCCTGGTCATCCTCGGCCAATACCTCGAAAGCAACAGTGTATGGCAGTGTATGGTCACCTTTATTCCCATAATTCCCCAATGACATATATAACTGGGCTGAGACTGAGGCAGGCATTTCTGACGAGGGCTTCTTGGAGCCTTGGAAGAAGCAGGAGAGATCCAGGCCTCAGCAGGTGGCGTTCACGCTTGCTGCTGGCTATGCTTCTTCGTCGCACTGCTCGCTTAGTTGCACGCCATCTTTAGCCCAGTGGTCCTGCAATGACGACTCACAAGCTTCTAGTCCCGTCGTGTTGGCGATAGTTAACTTGCCACACCTGCAAGATTTCACACCAGGACTTTCGGAGGTGTATCAGGTCAGACAACATCAAGAAGACCTGAACGACAACAGCTTCAGCTTCACATGTCGAGTTGCGATGTTCCAAGCTGTCGTGAAACTGCCGTTCCTCCTACGCTCGGGTGCCGTGCCATCTGCGCACGGTCGCTGCGCAATCTGTCACCATTGCGCATATTCCCGTCGATCATTTCCTGAGCGGACATGCAATCGCGGTGCCAACAAGCAAAGGGAACTCTATATCATCCGGCCTTCATTTTCTCTTTCATCTTGTTTTCCACCCTGTCCAGGAAAGCTTTGTCCTCGGGCAGCAGGCAACGGAACACTCACCAGACATTAGCACGCAGAAACAGGCACCACGCCATCTCCAGGATCTTCATGGCCGCCAGGAAGTCTTTGTCCTCCTTGGAGGTGTCCTTGCGATTTTCAAAATACCTGCAGATCAGCTTTCTTCGAGGGCTGTGGCAAAAAACGCTTGACATGGGGGGGGAGGAGCACTCTTCCACCTCGGTGCATTGCTGGTGCAGGACCTCCCATGCTTGCTCCGACTCGGGGAATACTGCGCACACAAAGAACTTGGCCGCATATTACCAAACATGCAAATGTCAAGACTCGAAACAAAACCTATCTGCATGGCTGTATCTTTTTGCCCACACTCCGCTTCAAACCCAGGAAATTGCACAGCACAGACTGGCTTCCAATTGGAGTGGTAAAGAACACCTATTTAACCCTGAAGCCCCCGAATTTTTTGCAATGGGCTATCACCTCGCACAGAAGCATCCCCGCCTTGATCAGGAGGTCCGATGCACCGGAGCTGGTTGCCTCGCTTTGGCATCCAGTCCAAAAGCCGGCTTAGCTTTACAAAATGATCATGGCTTCGGCCTGCGTCGATTTGCTCAGATCGCGGACCTGGTCAAATACAACGTACCCAACAACACTGCCTAAGAGTCTCTCGCAGACTCGGCCCTTGGCTATTCCCAGACGGCGCTCAGTTCGGTCTTTTTGCCTCCGGGCTCTACGTTGTTACCGAGCCGATGCTACACCCAGGGCGATGTGCGCCTGCGCAAGTCGGCCAGCTGGGCAGCAATGCTTTGCTTCTCCTGTCACTCTCGCGATCTCCGGGCCGAAGCTTTGCCAAGCGAAGCGCCGCCATGCACTGCTGTCAACTGTCAACTACTATCCAAGAGAATGTCGCATTCTTCAAGTCTTTATTTCCCACGTAAGCGCTATCAAGTAAAACCTTGCCAAAACTTGCCGTCCTTGTCGGTCTCCGCTCTCTGGTCCAGAAGTGTCATGCCTCGGCGAAGGTAGCCCTGCTTTAACCCTTGAAATGCTTCCCGAGAATTACACAGGTGCTGCCGGGGCACGTGTGTTCTTGTTCGCCTGCACGAACTCCTCTACCTTCCAGCGGTCCATGGCGCTTCTAGACCCTGTGCATGAGACATGGCATGGCACGGCATGGCACCGGCGAGTGTGGTCTGGCGCCGTCTGATCTACCGTTGGAGGCGTTGATATGGGCGGCCCAACAGTATTGAACTAGAATAAGCAGAATAGGGTTTTGGGGTGTGCAACTCTAAACACCCCAATACATATATGTATATCTGTATGTATATATATATATATTAATATATGTATACGTGCTTGTCCTAGAAGCCTGAAGGAACTACCACCCCCGACAGCTGTGGGACCTCGGCCAGCTGCTCCTCCAGCTTCCTGAGAGAGCGTCAGGAGGGAGCGACTCTACCCAGGGGCCCTTTCCAAAAGTTCATCGGCTTCTGGACTTGCGCTGCGGGGAAGAAAGTCAGTTCATCGGAACCCTAAACCCTAAACCCTAAACCCGGCACGCTTTTTTTCGAGCCCACTGCGCCCCCCCCCAAGACATTTTAGCGCCTCCTCTCGGCGCCAGCTTTCGGAGCCATGGAGATCTGAAGGGAGACCTGCGCTCAGAGCGGGCCAAGGCTGAGCTGAGGGCCCCAAGGCCCTTGTTGGGCCGCCGGCCTGGTCCTGCCGGTCGTGCAAGGAAGTGCCCTGCCTGGGGGCAAGGCCAAGACTTTCGTTCGAGGGTGGATCTGCGGAAGTTTCAATGATCCAAGCAGCTGCTGCAGTTGCTGGAGCTGCTTCCGGTTGTGGGTCTGTGGCGAAATCACTTCCGAGCTTTCCGTACACGGTACAGAGCGGTGGAAAACCGGCCTGACGAAGATCGCAACTCTCCAGGCTCTTGGTCAGTGCATCGATGTCCTCGCGCGACAGTGCAAGAAGGCATCTGTGATCAGAACACGACTCCGTGATTGAGGCGATAAGAGGATGAAGCGCTCCCGCTCGTGCACCATGATGTCGTGCTCGAGCTCGCCGATGGTGTCCTCTCGCAGCCATTGTGTTGAGTAAGACTAAGGCTAAGGCAAGCGAGATCAAAGTGCCAGGCTGCACTGCCTGCAGAGTGTCGAGCTCGTTCTCTGTCGCACTACCAGCTTGCGCCTCTCCGTCCTGGTCAGCACTGGTTGCGGCAAAGCCAATGGCGCTAAAGTCGCTAGAGTCTTTCTTTCAACTTGCCTTCTGCTTGACTTGCTGAGCATCGAGAGCAGCAATGTCCAGCCTCTCCTGCGACACGGATGACATGACGTCGGATCTCTTGGTCTGCCTCCCCATACAGAGAAGCTCGCCTTGTTGATGCTCTCCTGCATAGACTTCAGCCCTTGGACCAACGTCTCAACTCGAACCTTGTCGGTGTAGGTGTCCTGCACAGAAAACTCCAGTGAGGCAAGCCAAATTCAACACCGGGCCGCGGCCTGATGCAAGACCTTACACCCTGTCGAGGAGATGGAGACTCGTCCTTCGGGGAACTACAGTTTCAACAGCTTCAACATGCCGGTAGTGTCAGCTCTCAGCTACTGCCTGGCCTGCTCGCATCTGCGAGCGAAACTCGTCCTTCTGAAAGACCCGGAACGGCCTGGAGACAAACTTGCACAAGCACCCAGAAAGGACGGAAAGCCATGACATGCTGCGACTTCCAAGAAGCTCGAACGTATTCCCTTGACAATGGGGCAAGTAAGCCTGTTCTTGACAACAGCTATGCTGCTCTTCTTGGACTTGTCGCTGGTGACGAGTTGGTCCTGCCGGGCAAAAGATTGGAAACAAAAGATGCCAGACAGCTGGGCTTGTAACATTCAGCTGCAGGAAGACACGCATTGCAGCGTTCGCACCTGAAAGCCATCAGATATCTGTCCCCACCTGGACACAGGATTTACAGCGAGAGTGGTACAGTACCATGTGGGCGCGCGAAAGACAACAAAACTAGATCGCAATAACTCGACTGCGGCACTGCCAGATATTGGAGTTGAGGGCGGCAGCCACAGAGCTGTCGGTGCCGGCCTGAGACTGAAACGCGAAATGCTCCACGTAACGGCTCCGATGCACAGTTCGCTTTGGAATTCTGAAATTTGAGATGTTGTTGGCACCAGCGAACGTGCGACTGCATTGCCGGACAGCTGAGGCATCCCGCCGAGACCTTTGCGGACGCGGATATCCACCATGGGACCAACAAGTTTTTACACAGAAAGCTGCACTGGACGTAGACTTGATGGGAGCCGCATTTCGCCAAGGCTCTGAAATGATCTGGCCATCTTTGTTAGCACCCAGCCTGGGCTGCCAAACTCCAAGGATGCGCAATAGCGAAAATCTGCGAATCTGCAAGCAAGCCGCTGGAATCCCGACTCCTCCGGGTTGTCGGTGACGGGCGGATGGCCTCGAACGAGCGGAGAATCCCATCCCAAACCCCCCCGCAAGTCCCCACGAGGCCGCCGCAGACCTTCACCGGGTGAATCCGGTCCCTGTCTCCAACTCTTCTTTCATGGGACGCACGAGGACTCTGTGGCCTGTAGTCACCAACCCCCAGCTGTCCGGATTTGTTGCGTCCCCAAGACCAGACCTCAGCCACCATGCATTAAGGCCAGAAAGGCCTGGCTTTCCTCAACTTGACTCTCAGATCCGGGCCAAGCCAGGTGCCACCAGTGCCAAAGAGTGGTGCATTCCTGCAGACACCTGGACAGGGAAGAGCTTGCAAGTTAAAGTTGCAGGCCGCTAGGCGACAGCCGACATTTAAGAATCGGAAAAGCTCAAACGAAAAAACCGCCTGAGTGACTTCATGGCCAACCAAGCCCTTCACGGGGTACGGCCTGCTCAGAAGCGCCAACAAGCACTTCTCGGAGACGACTGTTTGTTTCCTCTGTCATCTCCGTGACCTCCTTGCCCTATCCAGAACTTACAGGTCTACACATACACATAGTTAGTGCGAGTGCTATCTTAATGTAGGAACGGGTGTTTCTACATGTACATGTAATTGTTTTTGCCGTCCGTGCTGACTTCGTCATGTAGAAGTGTCATGGCAAGTAGACGTCTGCTACTTGCTCCAGTCTATAACGCTTGTCTTTGCCAAGCCTGCCATTCTCCTCCTTGACCACCGGCTCTCGGCCGAGCTGGCCAAAGCGGTTGTCACCCCAAGTGAAGGCGATCCCCGCATCAGACAGCAGAAGACCGTGCCTCAGCTACCGGGCTTCTTAGAGGACATCAGGGCTTGGTGAGTTTCACGCCACAGATACACCTTTGTGCCAAGATGCTCTCTGCCAAGACTCACCTGAACGATGCATATCAGAGAGCGAAACAGACTCGCTCTTTTTGCGCTCGTAACATGCTAGCACAACAGCCATGCCATGAGCAAAGGCGCCTGCAGCACGCGGTGGCGATCATGAATGGCAGAGCCGAGCTGGGCCTTCTGGCGTGACATCCAGAACTGAAGGCCCCACAGTCTCAAACAAAGAGCGCCTTCGGAGCCAGCGGCAGGATGCAGGTATCCGTCTCCACGAAAGCATCGACTTTCCCTAGTTCCCTGCAGGCTGAGCGAAATGAATAGCAGATGCAAGCCACCACCATCAGCATCCGAAGCCTCTGCTGGAAAAGCTGAGCTGCACTGGGTGCGGCTGAAGCCTCGGAAGTACAAAAGCCGACATTCCTCCCTGTCACATCCTGCAACTTGCCTGAAGCTTCTCGTCTTCTGACAGTGGCGGAGGCTTTGTCAACAGCCAGAAAGGTGGCACTTCCTGCCCAAGGCACAAAACGTGCCAGGTTGTAAGCTTGCATCAACGGCAACCTTGTGGTCATCGTCACTCCGCTGCATGGCCAAACACAACAGCTGCTGCTTCTGTTGCACTTGTTGTAAATGCTCAGAGTCACACTCAGACTCGACAACATCCGGAAACCCGAGGCCACGCTACCGTGTGCAACACAGCGCTATGCTCTAAAAGATTCTAAAAGTATAACTTGTAGGGAATAACATTTGAAGGTCAATGTCTGCTGGTTTGCATCATGACATGTGAGATCTTGCCCAGCTTGCGAACCATACGCGCCAATGGCAAGCAATAAACAGTGAATTTCGAGCCGCCCCGCCCCCCCCCCCCCAACATTCTGCAATCCAGCAGTCGTCAATAATATCATCCGGATATGCTTCCGCTGTTTCCAAAGGGGTGCCGGCAAACGTCCATGCAAAGAAACGCTCGGAAACGAACCTCAACTGCAGCGGAAAATGATTGTCAGAGCTGCCAGTACTAGCAGCTGCTCTCACGGTACCACCCAACAACCCGCCGCCGAGTAGCAAAAGGTACTGGATGCAAATTCCACTCGGAACGCCCCAGCAGCCATGCACTTGCCTCGAGTGTGAGTGGTTGACGCTTCCAAATATGTATGTGGCGGCGCCGAACGAGCACCGCCCAGTGACTGAGGTGCTGGGACGAGCAGATTGGGCACGTGGAAGTTCTGCAGTGCATCCGCCAAAGCCACAGACTGGTCGAAGGACACTACCGTGTCCTCAACGATCTCAACACAAGTCTTGTGTGCAGATGTGCCACTCCCAAAGGAAACAGAAACCACAAGGAACATTGGTCCCAGCAGCGGCTGTTCCATGGAGCAAGAGCATCGGTGGAGACCTCACGGTGAACCGAGGCGGAGTGAAGACCCCCCCCAATCGCTGCCAAGGCCCACGCTGCTCTGCCACATGGCTTGTCGTTGACATGTTGCGAAAGCAGCCTGTGACCAAGGGGAGCCATGGGATTCGGATTGAAGGAGACGGAACAGAACCTCGTCGCTCTGACCCGAGAAACTGGGCATAAACCCAGCTTCCGATCTCTGCCAGGTGACCAGGCTTCGTCACAGGATTGCCCCCACAGAAGAGGGAATACGCTTCCGGCCAGTTGTCACGGACATGAGAGCTGTAGCCTGAATCGACAATGCTATCGTCAAACAACACAGCAACCCGCCGCGAATCCTACAGGCACCTTGGCGAAGCTCCTGGATGCCCCAGAGATCCACGACACCACGCCTCTGGTTCTCAGGTCTGCCTGGTGTGCTGATCATGCACACCTTGAGCCTTGAGCCCACGGCACGAGCCCAGATGGTACCAACAAGGATGCCAACACCGCCAGATGGCCACCAGCCGATTCGCCCTGCACAATCACTCCTGACGGCGACTGCACTTGCAGATCTTGATGCCGTCCGTCAACGTATCTTGATATATGCAACAACATGCATCTAGTCAAGGCACTGCGCTTGTCAACGCCCAGCTGTTCAGCATGTTCGATCACATACATGAGGCCATCAACAACATCTTCCTGGGGAAAACGCCGCTGAGTGCAAGTCATGGGACTACTGCTGACAAGGCTCCACCAAGTCTGTCCCCACGTAGCCGTCCCGCGTAAGACGGTACCCCACCGACACGAGCACAAAGCCACCTCGATGCAAGCATGCAAGCCTAGGCAGGTGCTGCTGCCGCATTGATCCGCCTTCCTCGCTCTGTATTGAAAGGCAAGCATCGATTCAGAAAATACTCAAAGAAGCAAGCGTGATGCCAGGTTCGGTCTCCGCTCCACCACCACCCGCCGTGGACGAAGAACAACAGAGGCCTGCTCAATTCGCCAGGAGCACCTGCTGATGGGATTCGTCGAACATCTCGCTTATAGGTGGAAGTACCGTCAATGCCGTGACATGACACCACCTCGCAACTCTGGCAGGTAGACATCCAGGAACAAAGGCCCAGCAGAACCACATCTTCTCACAAAAGGCTGCTGGGAACAGTCTGGCCTCACATGTCTGAGCGAGATAATGCTTGCCCTACACCGGTACATGCTGCTACTGGACCGGATAGAGATCAAACCTGCACGCTTTCATCCGCAAAGAACGTCTGCGGCCAAGGGGCGGTGAGGAAATGCTCTTGAAGGGTATGGAAACGTGCAACGGCCGAAGCTTGCAGCTGCCGACCTGCACGAAAAAAAAGTAGCAACACTTTACACTACGGCCTGGGGATGTGAGGGTTGGCATGAAAGGAACATGTGCACTCCTTGGACGGGCCGTCCTCGGCAGCCAATGGTCCAATCAACCACGAACCAAAGCTGAAGGCGTTGTCTCGTGCGGTTTCCACATTTGCGGGAAACAACCGGTCCACCTGCCGAGAAGTTGTGGCAAACGAGGCAAACTGGAATCTGTATATGATGCGCGTGAAATCGTCTTTTTCCGCTGGCAGCCTGCAACGACGTTGTTTCTCGGCACAATGCAAACCGGGCAGATAATTCTGGGAAAACCTGCTTGCATGTGTGATCGACCCACATCCGCTAAGATTGTCTTCGAGACTTTGAAACTACACACGAGAAGGATCGAGATACACTTCAGGTGGAAACCAAGGTTGTCCCTGCAGGCGGGTCAAACGGCATGCGGATCGGTTGAAGTATCGAAAGGTAATTAAAGCATGAGCGTCGGCCTTGAGATGTTCTGAAACGTCTCAGACGTTCGTGCAGGAGCTAGGGACTAGTTCTGAATGGATGCTAGATGCCACTGAGCCTTCCGGCCTGTCTGCAGTTGCGCGAATGTGTCCTGGTATTCGTTCGGATGCCACTTCTCAGGCGTGCAAGAACAACTTGGTGTCAGTGCTGTCTGCACATTCACCGCAAATGCAGGTCAAGCAGACCATACAAACGCGTTCGTGTTCCGGAGTGATGATGGTCCAAGGCAGGCCTCTTGGTAAGGCTGCGGCTACGGCTAAGGCGAGACACTTAATAAACGGCCCGAAACCGACTGCTTCGCAGACAGGGCCCGAACAGCCACCAGAGGCAAGTCCGCTGCACAATGGATGAATCTACGTTTTTGCTTACGACTTTCGGCTTAGGGCATAGTCTGTGCAAAACGAATCACACAATGAGGGACCTGATCAGATTATCCTCCGAAAAACAAAGCTAGCCAGGCCGTTCAGCAAACGACAGAATGCTTCACGGCTTCAGTTGGACAGGTACCGAGAGGACGACAACACCAATCCTGACCGTTGCTTTTGCGCAGATTCTGATGAGGTGTGGCTTGATAATGACGGGCATTGCTCGGGTTGGTCAGCCTGAATTGCTCTTCACTTGCACTTTCAGCGAAAGCACGGCTGGCATCTCTTGAGGTTCGGACCATGCGGTACTTCGCCGACTCTAGGATGGAACACAGAGGTTGGAGTCTTGCATTTGCCCCTCGCAACGAAAATGAGACACAGAGGTTGTGTAAGAGACGTGCGCAAAGGGTACACTTGTTTGCGTTCCGGGCACGTTGTCTCTTGCTGTCTCTTCTGGCTTTTCTTGTTGAGGAGCTCCAAACAGCGATCACGCTCTTTCTTGACATAGTCCAAGTCCGTCACCCACATGGTCTTGTGCGGCTTCCCTGCACGAGACTTCACACTGGTGACAGGAGTCCGGGACGAGGCGCAAAAAGTTACATCCGAGTGGCCGTCATCTGTTCTGAACATGTAGAAACGATAGGTTCGTTGGATGTGCCCAGTGACAAACCTCCAAGGGTTCAGGGGGCTTTACTTGCTTGTGAACTTCAACTCGAAAATGTCACATGCCGAGATGCTGGGTGTCCATGAACTCGATGTGCTCTTCCCCATCAACCATGCCGGAGCGCTGGTGCGTCATATCGACACCGCTGCGTAATCTAGGCGGGTCACCTCTGCCCTAGCACTGACTGCAATTTGCAAGGCTTCATGTAAGTGGCAGCCTAAACCTTTGTGTGGGCTGTGCTTCGCTGCGACTGCAATCTGCGGAGATGTGTTCAATAACTGGTGGCAAAATTGCGGCAAGATGGCATACGGCCCAGAGGCAGCTCACATCAAATGCAGCACGCACAACAGCACAAATCTGATGGTCGTCACATATTCGTAGACACGGTGAATAGGCAACAACAACAAGGGATCCCAGAGCCGCAATGTCTGATTAAGAAAAGCACCCAGGCACCCAACCTTTCTCTCTTAATTTACAGCCAGAGGCATTGTCCAGAAATCCTTGGGGACAACATCATAAGTGGTGCACCATGGTCGGCATTCGTTTGACAGGGCTGTAAATTCGGGGCACGTTTTTCCTCAGTCAGCTACCGTTTGAGTGGAAACCGCGGACTCAGGAGTTACTTGCTTGTCACGAGCCTCATCTGCCAAATGCTGGGAGGAGTGCAATGCGAGCAGCGCCGGCAGGCTCAGCAGCACGAAGCCTTACCATGCAAGCGTGAAAGAGATGGTGAAATAATCAAAAATATTCCAAACTTTCCTTTGCGGCGGAGAAGGCAAGTCTGAGCATAAGACAGCAAAGGAGGGCACCTGGGCTTTTGCTTCATGCCTTTCTGTGAAATCCGGCGGGTGACACGAGCAAAAAAGCTCGGACATCCGTCGAGCATCCCAGAAGTAGCAGACTTGCAAGAGCCCGCTTGCCCGTCATCCAGGCCCATGCAAGGTACAGCGATGCGACAGAAGCCCACCTGCTGCCCAAGGCCCATGCTAGTAGCTCGGGCACATGAAGCCAAGCTTTGCCACTGTCTTTAATGCTCACTTCTGCTGAATTTTTCAAGCCACACAAGCGCCAAAAGGCACATTGGTCCACTTCCACGCGCCCCAAGAAGGCCATGAGCACCTCCAGGATATGACGGAGGCGCAAAGGAACACACCACCGGCAAAGCAAGACGATGGCCTACTGCACTCCCAATAATGAAGGGCAGAAAGAGCAGAGTTGCCAAGATGGCAGGAAGCGTCACAGCAGCCTCCTGCAGCTCAAATTGCTCATGCTTTTGGTGGCGGTGCCGTTCCAGGAGGCACCCGACAGCTGCAGCGGGGGCGAGGCGCGGCGCGAGGCTCCGGAGTCTCGGCACAACGGCGTTTGGACACTCCGAGGCACAGATCTCGCTCAGCCCAGCCACCACCTCGTCGCTCACCAAACAACCTAGCTCGGTGGTGGAGGCTCCATCCTGTCCAGACCATCGGCTCAGTGGTCGCAGCTGGTCTCTCTCTCGGCCTCCTGCGTCGAATCCTCCGATCCGATGGTCTCAGGAGCCGGGCTGATGCTTCTTGCGTCCTGCAGCATGCCTGGAGCAGCCTGAGAAGAGGAGCGCTACCAGACCGCATCGCATCCACAGCAAACTGAAGCTACAAGTCTACAAGTACGAACTCCAAAGTGATCATATCGGAGCCCAGTCAGCCAAGGGCTGAGCATACGCCACGAAGTCACAGTGGGCGCAAGACCTCCAAGGATCCCACACTTACACAGGACGGGCAGAGGAGGACCGGACAGAAGCGTTCCACACGGAACTGGAGCAGACTGGGTCAGCGACGATCAAAGCTGCCAAGCGGCCTTCGCTGGAAAGGAACCCTGCAGGACCATTACCGTGAGTACCTGCGAGCATCTTGGTCTGACATGGGCCCTTTCGCGGGACGCCATGGTATGCCATCGCAGCCGTGGTCCGAAATTGCGCCTGCTGCAAGTCGATTTGCCACGTTCCCTTGAAGCGGCCGACGTCAGAGGGAAACCGGGCAGCGGGCGGACTCGCGACCCTAAAACTGTAAAACGCAGTAAAACCTAAAAAGTTCCTGCGGGAACGGTGGCGACGAGTCGGCCGCAGGGAAGCAGACAAAAAGCCCAACACTGGGTGTGGGAACAACTCACTCCTGCGAAAAGCTTCACAAGTGGCGAGTTGGCGCATCTTTTCGATTCAGTGCACTTGCAAAGGAAATGCGTGAAAGAGCTGCCATGCAGCCTGAGACATGCAGATCTGGCATTCCAGAATCAAGCATCCTTTTGGCGACACGTCTGCCAACCCATGAGGCTGCTCCTCTGCGTAACCATGTTGTGCACAAGCGTCGGGTCGCTCGCAGGGACGATGCCCATGCGCGGTGTGAGACATCTGTGAAACTGCAATTCCCATCCCTCATTTCTTTCCAATGGTCAACGGGGCCGCCTTGTTGCTTTGACAGCCCAAGATCTTCGACTGATACATCTAGACAAGTCGAGACAACACGAATCGACGCCCGGTCCCGAATCGCCAGCTCGGTGTGGTTCAGCTGGACCTGCCAGGGGTCTCCGGCTCTGCCTGCCTCAAGCTCTGGGCCTGGGGAAGGCTCGGGGCCTGCTCGATCTTCTTGGTCAGATCTATCAAGGCATTCGACAGCAGTGATGCCTTATGCCCCCGTTGGTTTTGTGATCTTGCACGGGCAAGAAGCCGGGAACCAACAAGTCAGGCGAAAAACTGCAACAAGCACTGCATCAACTAGGCTTCCCCACCAGCTGCAGGACTGAAAGCAGCTCGGCGCGCCATTCCTGGAAAAACGAAAAACTAATCCGTCCTCGACACTGGCACCTGCAACCTTGTGCAATTTACTTTGTATTTGCTGCCCACCAGATAGGAGTTCCCCATCTGCAAGAGGTTGTCACAACATCTGTGCGCCTTCTGCGACTCGGTAAGGGCGCTGTGCAGCTCCTGCCGACAACGGCACCCTGTTGAGCCATGTCGAACAAAATCTGCTAGCGCGCCTGTGACATGACCCGCAGCGTCTCAACTTCGTCGAAAGCAAGATCAGTGCCGATACCTCGAGGACAGCGGAGGGCATCATCAGAGCTTATAAAGCTCTCGAAACGACGACAAGACTTCACACGCCGTTCGCTTGTCCGAGCGGGCCACTTTCTATGGCGTTTAGCTTCTCGGCCACTGAGGCCTGGCGCTTGCAAAACCGTCTCCAAAGAGGTGCTCGCACAGCAGAAAACCAGAAAGGCCTGGAGCCGGGCCACCACTTCGAAGGGATCGTCTCCTGCGCGGGACCAAACCGAGCTTTTCTGCACACCGGCCTATAGGTACAAACAGCCCCTTGCCGACATGGGCATCCGGTCTCCAGTTTGGTCCACCCGAAACCGTCGAACGACATCAACGGCTTTGTCCCTGGGAACAGCGGAAATGTATTCGACATCAAAGCCAGTAGCACTTTCGGCTTGAGTATTCCAAGAAGCCGGCGACGAGCAGATTTCTGCAAGCCTCGGATCTTCGTCCAACATTCGCTGAAGTTGCACCTGTCGCGCGACAGCCCCAACACTCCGGAACATGCTGGAGTTGCTGTAACTTATGCCATCCCTACGTGAACTTATCGCTGCTACCGCCGGAAGCTTCGCAGGGCGCACCCGATTCACGATGATGGTGGCCTGGGGAGGCACCCGATTCCCAATATGCATGGCAAGAAAGCAGCTGCATCTTCGAGCTGCTTTCACCAACTCACCTGCTGGCTGCATGGCTGGGGGTGACACCATTTCCGAGGACGTCGGAATCCTATCGTCCTGGCACAGCACCACAGATCTCCTATAGGACACCCGACGATCGCAGAGCCTGGCCTGGCCATGCTCGTACTGATAAAATGCAACACAAATACACGTTGTACACGCATGACTCGCTTCCACGGCTTGCCCGTCCAAGGGAGCCAGGTCACTCTTGCTGAAACAGCCAACTTCCGAATGGACGTCCTCATCATCTTGTTGCGGTACACCGTCCTGCTGCTCGTGCAGCGGTGGACACCACATTGTCAAGGCAATCAAAAGGAACGATTACACTGCGATGCATCCCAACACCAGCTCTAGCACATGCGTCGGCAACTGTGCCAGGCTGACGCCGTCAGCCAACGCCAACTGGGACCTAACAATCGGGCGAGCTGTCACAACACTACCGCAAATCACACCTGCGGCGGCGACGACAAAGGCCGCTCCGGCCACTACTGCAAGAATGACAAACAACAACAGCATCAGCAGCAACAACAATAACAGTTCCGCTCATTAACAACAGCAGCAGCAATCAGAACCCATCAGCTGCCTGCTAGGACTCATACCTAGCCGTAGCTAGCAAGCACCTCTCCATTTCATCAGTCCGTCCGAGGCCCACGCGATCTTCGTCCACTGCGGCGGGTGTCTTCGATCTGCCTTACCCGAAGGCCATGCCAGACACGAAAACAATCACGGTCCCGAATATCCCTGACCAGCTCTGCTCATGTTCTTGGAAAATCCACTTGGTACCCCATGTCACAGTGAAGGCCACGCCACAAGATACTACAAGTAGTTTCCCGTGGTGTGCCCGAGGAATCTGCTCCAGGCCAATCCCAGCTTCGATCAGCTTCTGGCGCCTCAAGTCCTGCACGAGACGCTGCGCCCGAGAGCTGGGTGAGGGAACAGCTGCTTTTCTTCTCTTCTTCGTCCTCTAGCCTGTCCAGTGCTGCGTCCCGAATTTTCTCCATCTTCCTGACACAATCTGACACAAACTCAACAGGTTGACCTATTCACCACAGAAACTGCGGCTCTACTTGGGCACTGCCACCTGCCTCTTCATTCGATAGTACCGCGTGGCTACCGGCTCGGGCAGAGAGCTCAGCGCAATGATCTGACAGGAAGGGCAGCTCGCAGCTGGGCGATTTAGACGCAGCAGCTGTGACGAAGTGGACGCCCACTCCAGGCGCTTCGAAAGAGCCCCACACTTGCTACATCCTAGCCTTGGCATGACCTGCTTTCGCAAACAGTCCCGCGTTATGTTGAAAGCAGGCTGCCTGGTCTTCTGGTCCTCCAATATCTTCGTTCCTCTCCTGGAGCGAGTTCAAAAACAAGCTTCGCATGGCCCATCAACTCACTGATGCTTCAGGAGAGGGCTGGGGTTCTACACCCTCGTCATTGCATCCCCCCGTCGCAAGCAATCACAGCCGCACAGCTCCAAGCCGAATTCTACATCAAGCATTGGTGCAATGCAGCTTTTTGTCAAGCCATGCGCCCTCTGCATCAGAGCTGATCTTCGAACCTGAGTTGTTGTCTTCATTGGAACGGCCGACTCCTAAAGCAGTGGGTCTAGAACTTGCTGGCCCGGTGCCCATTTCATGTCCTGTGGTTTCTGCTTCGTCGTGGCAGGCTGTGCTAGCTATCGAAGGGTCCGTCTCACGATTCGAGGGTTGCAAAATATCGCACATTCTGCATTCGTGTCTTCTTCTTGTTCTTCTTGGTCAGACCTGCCGAAACCGTTCTTCTTCTCCTGCAATGCGGAACCTCATTCACCGCCCTGTCGCAGAAAGCACAGTGACAAAGAGAGAAGAGTTGTTTCAATTTGTTTCAGAAAAAGCATGCGTTAGCAAACTCTATAAAGTCGTAACCAGCACGGGCGTCGCAGACGCATTCCAGAGACTGCAAGTGCCAGTGAGGTGAAGTTCAAGGGCCTCTGTACAGTGATAAGGATCGCTCTGGTCCCTCTCTGCCTGCCCAACAATAAACACAGAAACTAAAGAAAAGAGAATCGATGTGGCAAGAGAACTAACGAATTGGCGCTGAACATACTGCAATTTTTAGGGTTGGAATCAAGCCAGACTCAAAGAACTGCAGTTGCCAGCGGTGCTGAACGTACCTAGAAATGCTCATTCTTGGCATGTCCAGAAGAGACGACAAACCACGGAACAGACACAGGTTGGCAAGTTGCAAAGCACCGACCGGCGCGTTGCAGGCACGACGACTGCGACGACGACGACGACGACGACGACGATCTCTAGTCTCTAATCCTCTCCCGCGCTTTGCTCTCCTCCTTGTTCTGCAGCCTAGGGAGCCAGATGGATCGCTTGGGCGGAGGTGGCTGCTGCAGCTTCTTCGGAAGTGGCAGCTTCCTCTTCGTCTCCGCTTTAGCAGAGGCTTTTGGCTGGGCCTTTGCCAGCTTCAACGCTGTTTTAGCTTGCGTCTTCGCCTGCGCTTTGGCCTGCGTCTTGGCTTGTGCCTTGGCTTGTGTCTTGGCCTGTGCAGCAGATGACTTGGCCGCCGCCTTGGCTGTTGCCTTGGCTGTTGCCTTGGCTGTTGCCTTGGCTGTTGCCTTGGCTGTGGCCTTGGCTGTGGCCTTGGCGGCTGCCTTTGCTCCCACTTTGGCTGCAGGGTACCGTGGCCTGATAATTTTAGAGGCCTTCGTTTCCGCTTCTGACCCGCCTGCGACGGCAAACGCACTCGAAACACTGATTTACCCAACCGCGGCACTCTGCAACAAAGTCCTAGGCATGTGGTCGACCTCGCCTGGCAGCTCGCCCGGCGGTTCAGGGACGGTGTGAGGAATGTCTCCCAGTGCCAACTGCTCGGGTAGCTGCCACCAGCGCTGGCCCCGCCGGGGCATGTTGGAAATCTGATTCAGTTTCTCGTAGGCATCCTGGGCTTCATCGTGTTAGACTTGCAAACAGGACAGCTTCCTGCATCATCCCCGCAAACTAAATCGCTCTGGAAGGAAGCAAGGAAGCCTCTGCACCTCAAGAAGCACTTACAGTCCCCTCCTCCAGCAACAAGTCAAAAAAGTCATGCTAAGAGTATATACATTTCCTACCTCGAGTGCCTTGGTGTGCCTACAAATGGCTTCAGAATTCTGCAGCCAGGCCTCTTCGTCCCTCCCTACCTCCTCAGCCTTGTTCAAGAAAGCTCTGATGGCCTTTCGCAACTGCGCTTCAGCTTCCCTGGGCTGTGGAAAGACGGGACTGGACCAAGTCAACAAGAAGCAACCTTATCTGGTCCCGCTCTTTGCCACGAAGAGGCCGGCCACCCTGATGGCCCATGATTACAGTGGCAATGGAATGGATCAGGTAGAGCATTGACTCTTGTGGATTTGCGCAATGGTTTTGCAAGAGCTGCGCGGCTTGCTCGCAGGGCAGTTCGCCTAGCAGCTGCATCATGTCCGCGTCAGGGAAAAGGTCCTCCTCCTCCTCCGCTTGCTCGGTCTGCTCCCTTGCCTTGAGCAGTGCCGATCGGACGTCCCTTGGGCAATGGTCTTTCTTGCTCTCGAGACTCCTGAGAGCCTCGTCCAGATCAAAACCCAGCTCCTCCCACGCATGGAACTCCTGGCCACATCGCGCAGCGTCAAGGCTTCGCTGGTGGCACGCTCGAAGAGCTTTCAAAGCTCGAGATGGCTCGATAGCTTCCAAGCTCATCATGAGACGCCATTGGGACCGCCACGGCGTGTCCCTGGGGAACTGCCCAGTAGCCTGCAGTTTGTCGAGGTAGCTCGAAACTTCGTTTGGAGTGGCTGGTTCCTCATCCCCTGGCACAACTGCCCACCGCTGATTCAGAGAGCTAGCAGCACCATCAACGCACGACGAGTGCTGCAGTTTCCACGTGAAGCGCTGCAAGGCCTCGAAAGCACTGCAAAGGGACGGGAAACATTCCCAGCACTTGCAGTCGTGAAACTTATACAAAGCTTGGCACCTCTTGCACTTTGTGCACACCCCAAGGATTTGCATACAGGCCTCACACTTGCCCTGCACCGGCAGGCTAGAAGTCGCCCAGGCTGTGATTGCCCGGTTCATGGCAGCACTTTTTGCCCGATGACCTTCTTCACCAAGACCCTTGTAATCTTCCACAACGGGAATCAAATAGCCTCCAACAGTTCAACATTGCAGCACAACACATGCCAGGGCAAAGCCGCACCCTACATTGCCTTCACGTACCCTGAAGTCGAAAAGCACCAAAGGATTCCTTGCCGCACCTTTGTCGTGGAAGCTCAGGAGGTCATTGAGAGCCACGCAAGAATGGTGAAGCCCGCCCGGAAGGCGGATTTTCATCAACCCCCGTGTGAAGCCCGGCCCCATCCGCGTCCCCAGCGTCCCTGTACCAGAAAAGATATCAATGAGCCGCCCGATCTCCTCCGATTCGATACCCCGGGGCCCACCCAGAAGGATGAGAACCTCCCGGATTGGCTCAGTCGTCACGGTAAACATGGGCAGACTGGTGCCGAAGGAAGACACCTCACAGCCATCCTTGTCCAAAAGGAGTCCTGCCGCAGCACTTCCAGTGGTACCATGCACGTGGCACGAGGCAGCATTCACTCGGTCCTATGCTGCCGCCACCCCGGCTCTGCGCAGCATCATTCATGTCCTGAACCTGTTGCGAGACCATGGCTTGAGACCACGCAAACAAGAAGCAGTCGAGCAGTACAGTCAGTACAGTCTTCCTCCTCCTCGGCCTCCTCCTCGGCCGTTCTCGTCTTCTTCGTCGTCGTCGTCCTTGTCGTCGTCGTCACCGGAGAGTGAACTGAATACTTGTGCTTGTGCTGGCACTGGCACAAAGATCTGCACATTGCTGATGCTGGTATGAAGTCGTCAGTGCAACAGTCACATGAAGAAGCATCTTTACATTGTCTTCTCCTTTCCAGCCCCGCTCCAGCCCTGGAGGGTTGCCCAGCCTTGCTTTGCAACCACTGCTCGTGCGGCCTTGGGTCGCTGGCTGGCACCGCATTCCTTTGCAGCGATCTTGAAACTGGACTTCGCATCCGTGCCTCTCAAACCCTTTTTGCATTACCCGAGGTCGCTAAGCCGCTCGGTCTTGTTTTAGGTGCCAGAAAAAAGCTTTGCCCCTTCAGGTCAAGCTTCCAGTTCTGGATCTCTATGCCGCAGGCAGATGCCTTCAACTCCGACCTTTCAACCGCCATGGCAGTGCCCAGAACATCGTCCTCCGTGATCGTGGCCGTGGCATTGATGGCCCGGAGGTATGTGTAGAACTGCCTGCAGCGAGAGGTTTTCATGGGCATCCAAGCGTGCATGAAAACATCTCGACTCCTCGACCTGGACAGAAAGTAACTTTCGGAGTGGTCCGGCCTGAGACTGTACGACATACGCATCTTGGGGGACAGGCAATGGAAGCTTGCCACATCCTGCTAGCCAAACCAGGTGCACAAGTGCAGCTGCTGGCCTAAGCCTTCCTCTCTAAATACGAGGTTTCGCAACACAAGTCCTGCCGAAACATCGAGGAGTGTGGATCCAAGCACATTCGTAAGGTACTCTGCATGTTGTCCAGCCTCTGCCTGGATGTCTGTCCACAAGAAAGACACAAGGAGCAACAGTGCTCACTGCCAAGGTAAGGGTTGCCTTTGTTGCCGAAGCATCAGTACAGATGTGTGCTAGGCCGCTAGGCCTCCAAGTGTCTGCGACATGGCCACAACAGAAGCAGCGACCAGGTCCGTCTTTGCGCTTGGTTTGTTTGAGTACGTCTTCGGGCTCGAAGAAATATGATTCTTTGCAGTCGCCCTGATCAGGAGACTATCAGGAGACGCTCTCAGAAACTCTGCAAACTTCTTCCTGCCACAGTTGTCACGTTGGACCTCCCAGTACAAGACGTGGAGTTGCACTCCATCGCGTAGGACGCCCGGCAGCAGCATTAGCGCGCAGCCGCAAACAGGGATTTTTGGCTAGCTTTGAGCTAGGGGTTGTGTCGAAAGTGTCTGGTGTGTTCTCATGGTGCAGCAAAGGAGGCAGGCACCATCACTGGGATGCCGGACCATGCCTACTTATGCATGAACTGTCAAGCACTTCCCGCTGCGAGCCACAGAAGTGGTTCGCTAAGAAACCAATCAACATCGAAGTGGTGATGTTCGAGCATGGTCTGGAGACTCGGGGGCAGGACATGTATGCGGCACTGCACAATAGCGCGACCCGGTCAGACTCCATGGCGCCTTCCCGACCAGCTTCACACCCTTTAAGGCATTCAAGTAAGTCCAAATAAATATGATGGTCGGGTCGCCGCCGGCACCTGAATCCCGCACAAAGCACAACAACATCTGGCACATATCAGCGCAGCAGCGAACTCGAGCAATGCCCAAGTGGCGCACCAGGCGCTTTATGTCGCTTTAGAGTCGACAGCTCGTACCTCATGTCGGATGTTTGGTATTGTGCTGGACGGACTGTGTGCATAACGGTTGCTGAGCCTCTGTATCAAGGCGACAAGCTCCTTCGCATTATTGATGCTGTTTTCAACGTACCAATCCATTTGTCTCATCTTGTGTCCCCATTGCGCCCTGATAGTACGAGTGGCAGCGACGATGCCCTCTACTCCTCCTCCTCCTCCTACTACTACAAGAATACTACTTCTACTACTACTTCTTCTTCTTCGTCTACCACTACCACTACCACTACCACTACCAGTACCAGTACAACTACCACTACCACTACCATTACCACTACCGCTACCACTACCACCACTACCAGCACCACTACTGCTATTGCTACCACCACTAGTACTACCACGACTACTTCTACTTCTACTTCTACCTCTACTTCTACTACTACTAC